TACGGTTTTAAGCTCCGTAACGATTTGGCTTGGGCTTCCTTAGTCTTTTTTTCTAAAGCTCCAGTCCCCATCACGTGTGATTAACTAACCTCCATGACTGTTTATTGTCTTCGTTCTCCTTTGGGCACCTTGCTTGCCTTGCCCTCACCTACAGTTTGCTTGCCCTGGGCTTTTCATTTTAAAGTCGGATAATTTTTTTTTTAATTTTTTTATTTTTCGAGACAGGGTTTCTCCGTAGCTTTTGGTAAAGTCGGATAAATTGTCCTAACGATTCCATTTGGGTCAGCTCTTCCCGCCCGAGTGTGCTGATTTCTTTTTGTTCTGGCGCTAGGAAGACTTCATAGACTTTTATCACAGCATAGCATAGAATTTGGGAGTGATATAAATCTGTGTTCCCTGGGCCACAGCCATTGATAATTTACCTCCAGAATAAACTTATCTCTTATTACTATTGAAGTGAGAGTTGTGTGTTTGCATTGATAGGGCAGAGGCAGGAGGATCGCTGCAAGTTCAGAACCATCCTGGGAGATATATATCCAGACTTAAAAAATGTAATTATGGTTATTTTGGGGGGTTATTAGATAGTGGTGATTATATATGGTTATAGATAGTGGCGGATGCAAAATGCTTGTCAAATACATTGGCAGAAACATCAACTAGGCAGGCAACAAAGTGGAGAAATCTCTGCTACTGGTCTTAGATATTATCTCCTGGACTTTAGTGTTCAGCTAGTAGATACATTCCAATAGGTCAGACAATGAGAACCAAGCAGACATTGTAATTAGGTTCCGGACCTGCAACATCCCAGCCTCTCCACCACCACCGAATCTCTAAGCGGTGGTTCAGTCTTGCAGAAGGGTCCATATAAGGAACAATTCCTTCGTTCACAGCCTCCAGTGTGCAGCGGCTATAGGCACGCAGCACCTTGAAAAGAAAGTGAAACTCGTCCCTTGCAATGCTGAAGCATGGGCAGCCCGTTTACATTGGGTTTCATGGTCTCAGTTGATGAGGACGACTGACCAGGTCTCTTCCTCAAGGAACAGGTTCCACCAAGATACGAACTCAGATCGCTGGATACAGAGTCCAGAGCGTTAACCATTACACCACAGGAGCTGGTGCGTTCAGCACCATACTCAGTTGTATTTACTGTTTTTGTTGTTTTGTTTTTTATTTGTCTTTTTAGACCAATAGAAACGTTCGCTGATAGAAATTGGGCAAATGAAAAACATATTAATATTCATTTACTTCCAAGATTGACCTGTGAGGCCAAGGATGATCTTGAACTCCTGATGCTCCTGCCTCTACCTCCCAGATGCTGGAGGCATTTTCTCAAATTGACAAAAGCCCACCAGGACAATATGGGAGGTATTATACTAATTAAAAGCAGTATTGGGGCTGTCAGCCCCAAGGACTCAAATGGTGGAAGAAGAGAATTGGCTCACAAAATTGGTCCTCTGATCTCTACTCATGCTATGGGACACACACAAGCAAGCATACACACATGCACACAAAATTAATAAAAATGTAATAAATCTATTAAAAATTAAAAATTAGACTTGTCCATTTTATGGTATGGGTGCTTTGACTGCATATACGACTACATGAATCTGCACCACATGCTGCCTCACGCTTGTGGGGGTCAGAAGAGAGCATCGAATCCCTGGAATGGTTCTGAACCACCATATGTGACTACATGAATCTGTACCACATGCTGCCTCACGCTTGTGGAGGTCAGAAGAGAGCATCGAATCCGTGGAATGGTTCTGAATCACCATATGTGACTACATGAATCTGTACCACATGCTGCCTCACGCTTGTGGAGGTCAGAAGAGAGCATCGAATCCCTGGAATGGTTCTGAACCACCAGGTGGGTGCTGGTGTTTTGAACCGTGGTCCTCTGCAAGGGCAACTAGTACTCTCTGAAGGGACACTAGCCCACTTGAGCATGTGGCTCAGGCAGGCCTTGTCCCCTCTGCCTTGCTAAAAACCATTAGATTACATTCCTAAGCTATCCACCAAGGTCTACTCCCTTATTTGGCCACTTCCTCCTTCTGAGGAAATCAGAAATCAGAAGCCCCCTTTGGTTCACCAAATTAAAACTGAACACCTCATCCTAACAGGGAATTTTCCCCCATATATATATATATATATATATATATATATATATATATATATGTATATATATATTCAATTTGCCTGTTGTCCTGTGTCTGTCTCCCTTCTATGCAGAGGCAGTCAGTCCATTGTCCCTCTGAGACAAATTCCCTTCCCCCTTTCCCTCGTCCCCTTCCCCTTCTCCCTCATCCTCTCTTTTATCACTGCATCCTAGCCCATTCTAACACAGACTCCCCTTTCTTAAGAATCACACCCACAAGGCCATTGGCTGCTGCTTTCCTGCCTGTCAGAAAGCAGCCACTTTAACTTTTCTTCCCCGCTTGAAGGATCTCTGTGGTGTGGTTTGTGCCTAATTGGGGTCTGGAAAAGAGCCCCCTTCACTCTTAGCAACTGAGCCATTTCCCTAGTTCTCAAAACAAAGCAAAACATTTAAAAAATAGTGTTTTGGGCCAGGGGATTGAAGGGCTTTAGCAGGCCCGAGCACGGCCGACACAGGCCCGAGCACAGCAAACAGAGGCTTGAGCATGGCAAACATGGCACCGGCAGATTTTGCTCTTTCCCCTTTCCTCACCCTTGCTAAACCATTAGATTATACCCCTGAAGCCAGCCCTCAATGTCTATTCTCTTATTGGCCACTGACTCATTCCCGAGGCTGATCACCAAGGTCCAGCTATCAGAACATCAAGGTCCAGCAATCAAAATTATTATTTTGACTAACCAAATTAAGTACCCAATCAGAATTCACCAACACACCCTGCCTCATTCAAACACAAACCTCCCTTCTTCTCTCTTGAAACTAACGCTTGCAAAGCCGTTTGCTGCTGTTTCTGCTTGGTTAAGATTCAGTCACCTGGTCTTTTCGCCTTACTTAATAAAGGATCTCTTTGTGTTTGATTTGTGCTTGGAAATTGGTGTTTGGGTGTGGTCTGTACCTAATCCGGGGTCCTAGGGGAGCACCCAGCAGTACAAGGGTCCCTCCAGGAATAATCTACTCTTTAGAGCCCTCGCTACATTGCCAGAACCCACGTGAACGGTCACATATGTTGGTGCACAGCTGTAATCCCGGTGCCGAGGAGACAGAGCTGGGGGATCCATGGGGCTCATGGTCAGCCACCCCAGCTGACTGGGGAACTCTAAGTCCCAGCCAGAGACCCTGTTTCAAAAAGGAAACCAAAGCCAGGTGTGATGCTGTGTGCCCTTAATCCCAGCATTCAAGAGGCAGAGGCAAACAGAGCTCTGTGTTTGATGCCAGCCTGGTCTACACACCCAAGGTTGACCTCTGGCCTCCACAGGCACAGGGCCTCCTCTTCTTCCCTCTCCTCCTCTTCCCATTTGGGACAGGATCTCATTAAGTAGCTAGCCCTGACTGGTCTGGAACTCCCTGTGTAGATCAGGCTGCCCTCAACTCATAGAGATCTACCTGCCTCTGCCTATAGAGCTGGTATTTATTAAGGGTGTGTGCTCCCCTGTGCCTGGTGACACGCACATTTCTGCACGCATGAGCACGCACACACACAAGCACACCACACACACAATATTAAAATGAGCTTAGAGTTGAGGATGCCGCTTATCAGCAGAACACCTGCTCAGCACATGTGTGGCCCCCAGTTCCACACTTAGCACAGAAAAACCAAACAATTCAGGTTACTGTTTCATACCATTTCAAATGTGGCTGCTAGGATGTTTTAACTAAAGATGTGGTGTCAGGGCATGGCTTGGCTGGAAAGCACTTGCTAGGTTTCACTTCCAGCGCTGTGAAATAAATCAATTCATCATGCAGCTGCCATATGCCTGTTGGAAATATGAATGGACCTCAGGAAAAAATGACCACGTTCTCTGCCTTTTGCATTTCCTCTTATCAAGGTCAGCTAAATACAGGAAGAGCTGGGCACATATGTCATCCCAGTGTCCAGGAAGCCAAGGCATCTTGATTTTGTGACCAGCGTGGGCTACATAGCAAGCCTCTTTCAAACAACCAACAACCAACCAATGAACAGCACAAAAATGATTAAGGGGCTGGGGAGGCGTCTCCATGGGTAAAGTACAAGCATGAAGACTTGAGTTTGATTCCCAGTTCCAGAGAGAGAGAGAGAGAGAGAGAGAGAGAGAGAGAGAGAGAGGAAGATGTGTGTTGGTGCACACCTATGGCCCCAGAACAGCTGGCAGCAATGTGTTTGTAGGGCAGATAGGATTTCCTGAGATGCCGCCAGCTAGCAGAAATGGTTACCCAGGTTCAGTAAGATAGACCCTGTCTTAAAAATAAGTCCCAGAGCAATAGAAATATCCACGCAGTGTCAATCTCTGGCCCCTCCTCACAGGAATATGGGCACACTGGACACAGACACACAGAGGAAATATTAGTGGTCAGAGGGCTCCGCAGGTAAAACCACCTGCTGCTCAGGATGATGGCCTGGGTTTGATCCTGATGGAAGGGGAGAACTCATTTCTGCAAGTTGTCCTATCACTTTCTCTCCTGACCCATAGAAATACACAACAAATAAATACAGGTAATCCTACGACTGTTACTAAAGCATTGGAGCCACACCTTTTGTGGAAGAGGGAAAAACACCCCCGGATTAAGTGTCCTTCATCCATAGTGTCCTTCATCAGACGTCTGGGTAAACCGTGAGAAAATGCAGCACACCTACACCTCACAGGTATTCATAAGAAAACATGTGCCCCAGGGCATGTCTGTGCTCCTGCTCAAAGGCCAAGCCGGCTCTCCTAGTCCCCAGCAGGCTGGAGTTCTGGGCCGCTGACCTGGGAAGGACGCGCGCGCCCCCTAGCGCCCTTCTTGGTCACCGCCTCACCCCGCCCCTGCGTGAGCTCAGTTTAGCCCATACGCGCCTGCGCACTCGGGCTTTTTTTTTTTTTTACGACGCCGTCAAGAAGTTCCGCTGAACTTACGGCAGCCCAGTTCCGGTTCAGACCTTTCCCGGTCCAACACTCCACTCCTGCACGCACACAAGGGGCTCGTCTTTTCTCTGTGCGTCCCGAGCAGCGTTCCCGGGTCAGTCTGTTTTGGGTTTTGGGAGGTAATGCGGGTTTTGGGGTCCCGGCCCTTGAACAGCTCAGCGGAACAGCCTTGTGGCGCGCTCTGCACTGTCTGCTCCCCAGATGGGTGGCAGGATGGTCCGTACTGGTCTCCCAGGACCGGGTCCCTAGGACGTGCTTTGTAGGGGCGGGCCGTCGGCTCCGATGCATCCCCCCAGAAGTGACGAGGGTTTTCTGGAGACGCGTCGAGGTCCAGCTCCGGGGGAGAGTCTCCATTCACTGCTGGGGCCCCTGCTGAAGGCACGGGAGGCCCCGAGGCTCCCAGTGCCTCCTCCTGGCTCCTCCACTAGTTTCCCCACCATCCGTGCAACCTTCTAGAGAGTTTGTGCGATGCGACCTCCCAATGGGAAATCTATAGTTAAGGGTCACCGTGGAGACGCCTAGACACCTTCGGTGCCGCCCCCCCGCCCCGGATATAGGGTTGGGGATTTTCTACACACTCTCCTGGCTTGGCCCTGACTCACCCTCTTTCTGTCAGTCACTTGCTTTCCTGGAGGGGTTGAGCAGGAAGGTCTCCAGGGTAGTCTGGGCTGGAGCACCCGCCAGCTAGGGAAAACATATTTGACCGTCCTCTGTCTCCTCACCGTTCCTCAACCGTCCGCTTTAAAGGCAGGGTGTATTAGAGCCTTTCTCGTTGTTGCTGTGGTCAGATCTCTGACAGAGCGACTAAAAGAAGGACAGGTCTCTTTCTGTGACCATCCACAAGACATGGCAGGGGCCTGAGGCAGCTGGTCGCCTTGCACCCATGGGCAGAAAGCAGAGAGATGAATGATGCGCTCAGGTGACTTCATCCTTTTTATTCAGCCCTAGGGGGCGATGTCCACATTCAGAGCAGATCTTCCCTGAGTTAAAACTTACCTGGAAATCCAGAGGTGTGTTTTCATGGTGATTCTAAATCCAGGTAGTGAAGGAGAACCATCATGCAGGGTCTCACTGTGGAACTGACTCGGGCTGACCTCTTTCAGCCGTCATACTGCCTCAGGCCCTGAGTGCTGGGGTTACAGGTGTGCGCCTCTGCACCCAGTGTCCTGTCCTGTCTATGTTACTTTCAGTTTCAGCCATTCTCTTGCCATGTGCTAACTTCTTGAGAGTTACGCTTTTATTCAGTGCGTCTTTGTGAGCGTGCATGGGCGTAAGAGGACAGCTTTTGAGAGTGAGTTCTCACCTACTATGTGAGTTCTGGGGGCTAAACCTGGGTTATCAGGCAAGTGTCTTTACTCCTGAGCCATCTTGTCGGTCCCGGTGATAGTTCTTTAGGAAGGCTATCTGTTTGAAGTTTGTTTTGTGTATTTGGGTGTTCTATCTGCACACACACACGCATGCACGTCTGGTGCCTTCAGCAGCAGAATAGCTCCTGGAACTAGTTACGGAAGGTCCACATGATTCACCATGTGGGTGCTGGAATTCAAACCCAGCCCTTCTACAAAGCAACAAATATTCTTAACTGCTCAGCCCCCCCCCCCCCCTTTTGAGACAAGGTCTCATATAGCCCAGGTTGGTCTCAAACTCCATATGTAGCAGATGATGACCTCTGACACCTGATCCTCCTGCCTCTGCCTCCACCTCCCGAGTCCTGGGATTGCAGAAGTGTGTCACTGTACCTGGCTTGATACAGTGCTGGGTATTGGACCTAGGATTTCATGCATACTAGGCGAGCTCTGAACCAGCTGAGCTGGGTCCCCAGCTGCAAGTGCTTTTCATGAATAAGAAACCTCTTGGGTCTCCAGCTTTCGGGTCGTTTCCGTTGCTCCCGTTAATCCTCTTTAAAGATTTCTTTTTAATTATTTTTCATTATGTATATGCGTGTGTGTCTGAGTGTGGGTTTGTGCATGTGAGCGCAGTGCCAGCAGAGGCCAGAGGCACCGATTCTCCCTGGAGCTAGGGTTACAGGTGGGTGTGAGCCACCTGAAGTGGGTGCTGGGGGAACTGAACTCTGAACTCAAGTGCTTACAAGAGCAAGATGTGCTCGGAAGTGCTGAGTCATCTCTGCATCTTCTCTACTTCTCATCTGTCTTCTTTTCCCCACTGGCTGGCAGGATTATAGAGCTCTCCTCCACTGTGTATGCTTTGCTTGCTAAAGCTTATGGGGTGCGGTTTACCAGGAGTTTGAATGTCGGGTTTCCTTCTTATCTGTTTGGCACCGTAGTGCCCAACGCTGGTGCAGCTGGGTTGTGTGGCTATCCTAGAGCCTCTCCAGGCTCTCCCTCTGGCGCTTGGTGCCAGGCCTCATCCATCCATCACCCTGACTTTTGGTCTCCCTGCAGGGCGGCGGCATGGAAGCGCGTTTCACGCGCGGGAAATCGGCGCTGCTGGAGCGTGCACTGGTGCGGCCACGCACCGAGGTGAGCCTGAGCGCCTTTGCCCTTCTCTTCTCCGAGCTGGTGCAGCACTGTCAGAGCCGCGTCTTTTCTGTGGCCGAGCTTCAGGCACGCCTGGCTGCCCTAGGCCGCCAGGTGGGCGCCCGAGTCCTGGATGCCCTGGTAGCCCGGGAAAAGGGTGCCCGGCGTGAGACCAAAGTGCTGGGTGCGCTGTTGTTCGTCAAGGGTGCAGTGTGGAAGGCACTCTTCGGCAAGGAGGCCGACAAGCTGGAGCAGGCCAATGACGACGCTCGCACTTTCTACATCATTGAGAGGGAGCCGCTCATTAACACCTACATCTCGGTCCCGAAGGAGAACAGCACACTCAACTGTGCCAGCTTCACGGCGGGCATCGTGGAGGCTGTGCTCACACACAGTGGCTTCCCTGCCAAGGTTACAGCGCACTGGCACAAGGGGACCACACTCATGATCAAGTTTGAAGAGGCGGTTATTGCCCGAGATCGGGCCCTGGAGGGACGCTGACCCCACAGGAGATAAAGGATGAGCAGATCCCGTTCCTAAGCTTGTGTTGTGTCTTGTGTAGGGGCGCCAGATCTGCCCACACCCTGATCCGGGTCCTGAGTCTCAGGCTGAGGGAGTCCAGAGGCAAGTGTGTCAGGCATAGGTAGTGATAAGTTGACAGTGGACTGACCTAGCTTCTGACTTTAAGATGAGGTTGGAGGGTTGGGTGTACTGGGGAGATGGGGCACCTGTGGAATTATCTTTGGGGCCTGTAGGCTGGAGAGATGGGGACAGGGATATGAGGTTAAGAGGGACCAGGTCCTGGCAAACTGCCAGTGCTATCACCCAGTTGGTCCAGTGCCTTGGGTTTGATTCCTTATGCCACATAAACTGGGCATAGTGGTGCAGATTGTCTCATCCCAGCACTAGGAAGGTAGAGGGAGAAGGATCAGAAGTTCAAGACCATCCTCCGCTACTTAGCAAGTTTGAGACCAGCTTTTGGCAGCACAGGACTCTTTCTTAAACAAGTTTCAGGCAGGGGGATTTTCCCCTTGAAACTCACGTTTCCTTAATCTACGTTTGCTCTTTTAAAAAAGTAGATAAAGGAGAGGGCATGGCCGTATGACTAAAATATATATGGAGAGTGACTGTTCTCCCTTTAGACCTTTGCTGCTTCAGAGTGGCCTGTGGACCATCAGCATCAGCACCAATAGCATCAGTGTCTTTGTCCCACATGCAGAATCCCTGGTCCATCCTAGACTTACTGGACCAACATTTGTATTCTAGCCCCATTGCCACAGGTATCCCTGGGTTGCTTATTTTGAGAAGCAGAGCTTCAGAGCATCAGAGTCACATAGAGGAGTTTCTAAAACTCAGGTGGTCGGACCCTGCCCTTTCAGTCAGATTCTGCAGTTTTGGGGTGTGCCTAAGAACTTGTTTCTGGTACATTCTGGAGAGCTGCTGGGTGCCCCAGGGATCCCACTGAGAACAATGGCACACTGACCTCTTGAAAGGGGAAGAGCCAGAATCGTCTGAGAATTTAAAGGCTTTAAAGGTAATATATATAATTGAGTTTTTCAAGATAGGGTTTCTCTGTGTAATAGTCCTGGCTGTCTTGGAACTCTTTGTAGATCAGGCTGGCCTTGAACTCAGAGATCCACCTACCTCTGCCGCCCAAGTACTGGGATTAAAGGCGTGCACCACCACTACCTGGTTTAAGGTTAAATATTTTTAATTTTTTTTCTGAGACAGGTTGCTGTCAGCCTAGGCTGGCTTTGAGTTTGCTACGTACCAGGATGACCATGAGTTCCCCACCCTTTTGACTCTATCTAAGGTTGGGTGTTTATCTTAGTGCCTCCTTAGATTATTACTGTTTTAGGTAGTCTCAACTATGTTGTCCTGGCTGGCCTGGAACTCACTATGTAGACCAGGCTGGCCTCAAACTCAGAGATCTGCCTACCTCCCTAGTGCTGAGATTAAAAGTTGTGCGCCACCACCCCTGGCTATTTTTTTTTTTTTAAGACTTTTTATTTGTGTGTGTTTGTATGTAGGTTTGTGAGCATGAATGCAGGTGACTGGAGGCCAGAAGGGGGCATCGGGTCCCCTAGAGCTGTTGTAGGTGGTTGTGAGTCATCTGATGTGAGTGTCCCAGTCTGAACTCCCGTCCTTAGGAAGAGCGATGTGTCTGGATCCGCTGAGGCATGTCTCTAGCCCTCCACCTTGTTTTTAAAATTACATTTATTTTGTGTGTGCCTGTAGAGTCAGAGATGTGAGATGCCTTCCTCTGTTGCTCCACCTTAAACATCTTAAAATACGTGTGTGTATGTGTGTGGGGCTGCACACGCCACGGGGTACTGTGGAGGGCAGCTTTCAGGACGTGTTTCTTTCCTTCCGCTACACGAGACTCAGGAGACTCAGGCTCTGAACTTAAGTTATTGCTGACCCTCGTCTCAGCTTTATTTGGGGCTCACTGATTTGGCCAGGCTAGCCCAAAGCCAGAGTTTCAAGCTTACTTGGATTATAAGAAAGTAACCAGTGCACCTGGCTAAGGATCGTGTGCTTCTGAGCCACACTCCCACCTCTCCCTACCCTGTCACTTTAGTCACGTAAGAAAAGAAATAACCAAGATACACAAGGTGTAAATTCCATGTCAGTTGCACTACATTCTCAAAGAGGCTCGTGGGCACCAAGTCTCTGAAACTGTCAGCTTCTACCTGCCACACCTGGACACACTGGACACAGCCTCCAAGGAGGGGAGGAATGCTGGGGACCAGCCATGATCTTTTTCACTGATGATTCAAGCTTGGTGGGAGCATTCACTCCCAGACCCTGGGGAGAGGGACCTCCGGTCTGTGTCGCAGAGAGTGGGAAGAAGGGGAAAACGTGATAGGAGGGGTAGGAAGCCTCCTGAGAAATCTGTCCTCAGCTCCCTGGATAGTTCAGCCACCCACATACATGCTGCATGGCTGGGCTGTGGTCGAGGAAGGCAGAGGGAATGGGATGGTCAGCTTAGGTCAGCAGTAGAAGCTTTGTGGGGAGCTGGCATCTACCAGTTGCTTCAGTATGGATGGGAGCATAATCATGAAGGCCTCCAGTCACATAGAGGGGTCCAGGCCTTGACAGGGGGTCCCCAGGGCCTGGCGCTTTCCATGATGGGAGAGACATCCAGAAGAGTGGGCAGAGGTTTGTCAGGGTTCGGTTTTTGGAGTAGTGGGTCCTGTTGGACGCTCAGAGGCTAAAGGGGCAGAATCCTCGCATGTGGCCAGCTGCTCACACACCCAGCCTTCCAGGAAGCTGTGACAGAAGGCATCGTTCCACTGGCCGGATCCCCGCATCATTACGCAGTCCTCACCCTGCCCTGCGTTGTTGGGCTCCCCGGGACTCCAGTTGCTGGAACAAGAGACACCTCCAGTCACAGGATGTGATGAGGGAGGTGTCCCCTTCTCTGCAGGTCCTCTGAGGTTGAGCCCTCTCCCATTACACCCCCTTCATAGGAAAGGTTCTCCTGTTTGGGGCATCTGTACGTGGACCTCCCTTATTTCTGTATTCCCTCTATGCATGCAGCTCAACACCCACCTTTCCAATCTACGCCTGCTCCTCACTTCCTCAAGCCCTACATCCTTTACTTGTGGCTAAGAAAGCTAAGAAGTCCAGACCCCAGGGCTCGCTCTCCTTCACCTGTAGCCTGTGGGACCCTGAGCCCTGGACTCCTGCATGAGGTCCCATCCAGGGGCCGCTCCCTCCTTGGTGTTTCTCCCATCTTACTTCCCACAGGCCCCCTTACCTGTAGCCCACTGGGCTTCCATCCATCCATATGAACTCTCCCTCCACATTGAGATCCCGGAGGCCAATCCAGGAATCCTTGTTGGTGTGTTTCATCAGGAAGTCCTAGGGGGAGATGGATATGGTCCTTCTCATCCGTTCCAGAAGGCCATGGTGGGATCCTACCCCGACCCCGGCTGCCATCCAGCTGCCCATAGTCTCCACAGAGCCCAAGCCACCTGCTCCTCTTGGCTGTGAATGCTGACTAGCCGCCCTTTTAGGTCACTGCAGGTGAATCGGGCCTGGATCCATCGCTTGGAGTCATTGCCAAAATAGTAGCACTTCTGTTGGAAATGGAGCCAGTTTTTGGGACACGTGCTGCATGTAACTCCTGGGGTCACACAGAAGAGAAGAGGCTCAGGAGCATTGTGGGGGGCCACCCCTGACCCCCACGGGCAGAGTGTGCGTGTGCATAGTTTCTCTTCTGCAGTCACCCAGGGGTCTTTTTTTTCCATTCCTAGATTTTTTTTAATAAATTTATTTATTAAAAATTTCCGCCTCCCATTTCCCTCCCCCTCTCCCCACTCCCTTCCCCCTCCCTCTCCAGTCCAAAGAGCAGTCAGGGTTCCCTGCCCTGTGGGAAGTTCAAGGTCCTCCCCCCTCCATCCAGGTATAGGAAGGTGAGCATCCAAACAGACTAGGCTCCCACAAAGCCAGTACATGCAGTAGGATCAAAACCCTGTGCCATTGTCCTTGGCTTCTCAGCAGCCCTTATTGTCCGCCATGTTCAGAGAATCCGGTTTTATCCCATGCTTTTTCAGTCCCAGTCCAGCTGGCTTTGGTGAGCTCCCATTAGATCAGCCCCACCGTCTGTCTCAGTGGGTGAGTGCACCCCTTGCGGTCCTGACTTCCTTGCTCATGTTCTCCACCCAGGGGTCTTGACTGGAAGAACTGTCCTGTCCCTCCAAGCTTAGAACCTAACAGCCTGTCTGCAGATTGCTTTCTTCATGGGATCCCCGAAACTGGCTAGTTCTTTGATGAGGCAATCTCAGCCACCAACACTATTACTGAAGACACCTCAGTGGTTAGCAGAATGGCAATTGTCACTAACCTCATAAATACCTCAACCACTGGGACCAGCAACAAGCAGCCAAAGCTAACCACAACTCAGCTACCAGCATTATGAAACATTTCCAGTTCCAAAGTTACTAACGCCTCCATGGTTAGTAATACTTTAATTACCAGAACCATAACCACAGACACCTCAGCCACCCACACGTCAGCCACAGCATCACCCTTATAGACACCTCAGTCGAAACAGAGATGGCTGAGTGATTAAGAACGTGTATAGCTCTTGCAGAGGACCTAAGTTCTGTTCCTAGCACCCACATTAGATAGCAGCTCACAACTACCTGTAACTCCAGCTCTCTGGGTCTGGCCTCTGCGGGCACCTTAAACTTACGTGCATGTTACCTCTCCTGTAACTAAGAATAAAATATTAAAAGAATATTTAAAAGGAAATAAAAAGTAAGGGAAGTAAAGATTGAGAGAGAGATTAAAACTGGAAAAAGTTTCATGACTGTCACACCTAGGGACAGACAGTACCAGAGCTGAGCTCAGGCCCCAGGAAGTAGAACCATTTGCACGTGGGAGCTCTCAGTTGGCAAAGCACTGAACAAATTTGAGGTCTGAGTGTGGGGCTTATGGATGGGTGCACCTGTAATTCTAGTGTTCCTGTGGTGAGGTGGGAAGCTGTGTGTGTGTGTGTGTGTGTGTGTGTGTGAGAGAGAGAGAGAGAGAGAGAGATCGAGATCTGTGTATGTGGTTTGTGTGTGGTGTGTGTGTATGAGACCTGTGTATGTGCAATGCATATTTGTTGTGTGTGTATGTGGTCAGTATTTGTGTGTGTGTGTAAGGTTTGTGTGTGGTGTGTATAGGTTGTGTATGAGGTATGTGTGTATGTGACCTGTGTATGTGATATGTATATGTGGTGTGTATCTGTGTAGGTGTGTGTATGTGGTGAGTGTATATGGTATGTGTGTATGTGAGGTACGTATGTGTAGTGTGATGAGTGTTTGTGTATGTGTGAAGTGTGCTTTGTGTTTGTGTGTTGTGTATGTGTGTTGTGCATGTGGTATATATGTGTGAGGTGTGTGGTGTGTATGATGTGTGTACTCAGAGAAAGGGTAAGAGGTAAGAAATCTGTGAACAGTGAACATAATCTTCTACCACAGAAAACCACAGGGGTTTTCTGCCGGGATCCCCAGAGTCACTGTCCCAAGGGATGGGAACTCCTTCCAACCAAGCAAAGTTCCTTCCTCTTGTCTTGTTCTTTGGGGCAGCTGGGACTTTCCAGAAGGAAAAGGGAAAAAGTCAAGGGCAATGAAGTGAAGGGGCCAGGAGTGCAGCACCGCGACCTCATTCTTAGCCCGTGTTGCAGGCTCTTCAATGGCTCTTGGGCAAGCTTGGTGGCCTCCAGGGGCCAGTGTTTTCCCGATCTGAGGCATCCCTGGTGGAGGTGTCAAGTCCCTTAGCGCTGAGTGGGTCAGTTTATGGCGGCTGCTATGGTGAGGGTGAGGTGGGACAGGGGGAGGGAACATTATAGGGACATGAAAAAGGAAAGCAGCTCCTCATGCTGAAGTCTCGCAGGAGCCTCTGAACAGCGGGAATTTCAGCACAGTTAGCATTTGCTTTGAAGGCTGACCGAGTAGCAGCAAGGACTTGTATATCTCTATATTCTTTCCATATAGGGATATTTTATATTAAAACGAGGAACTAAGCTCAAGGTCTGATCATGGTATATAATCTCAGGTTGGACTTCATTCCTCCACCAGCTAAATTCTAGGACTCTCAAACGAGACTATTGATTCTGTTTACAATAAGAATGTCCCATCCTCCTGCACCCCTGTGGCCTTTCACCTCATCAATAGTAACCATGTTGGGAACTGCCCTGGAATCTCATTTAAATTCTCTGGGCTGAGCAAGCATGAGGACCGCAGTTTTGATCCCCAGAACTGATTAAAGCTGGACCTGGCAGCATGCACCCGTAATCCCAGCGCCCCTATTTAGAGCTGGGAGGGGGCAGAGACAAGAAAAGCCCTGGATGCCTCTGAGCCAGCTAGCCTGGCTTATGCAGTGGCTAACAAGAGATCCTGTCTCAGATGAGATGGAAGGTGAGGACTGACACCTGAGGTTGTCCTCTGACTCCCACAGTACACCACGGCACATGCGCACACCCCCTGTGCCTCACACACACATACCACACACACACACACACACACACACACACACACACACACACACACAGAGTCTTCAGCAGGCCTTTGAGGATAACCTCAAAACCTACTCCCATCTGAGATTATTGGAGAGACCAAGATGCAGCTGCCTGAGAAGCCCACACCCAGCTCCTCCCCCACAAGGACACATCCTTTCTCTTTCATGCTTAAATCCCTATTAGGGCTAATGAGATGGCTCTGTGGGCAAAGGGGCTTGCTGCCAGGTCTGAAGACCTCAGTCAGTTCTCAGAACCCTTGTGGTAGGAGAGAACCATCTCCTGAAAGTTGTCCCCTGACCTCCAAATGTGTGCCCTAGCATGCATTTCCTCCACCTTTACGTACACACACATAAAATAAATAAAATGTAGAAATAATTAAAAAAATAATCCATGTTGAAATCTCTCTGGATAAACTCCAGTCCTACTTCACACTGGCTTGTCCTGCATTCTCTGAATCAAAGACAAAGAGCCCTGTTTTACCTGAGTTGAGGTCCCGAGAGGGTTAAGGAAACTCCGCAGGCTATGGAACTGTCCTTCTGTCCCTGCCACCTGGGTAGGGCTGCTGCTGATCACATCCCCCTCTAAGCCTGGCTGGGCAGACTCCAGGAATGGAAGAAAGCTAGTGGTGGTTAGCCTTACCCAGGAAGAGGAAAACAGCGTGGACTCCGCCCCAGCAGCAGAAGGTGTTCTTCTACGTCCCCATCTGTCCTGGTCCGTGCCCATCACACAGACCCCTCAGTCACATCATGCCACACAATCGCATCTGCACAGTCTCCTTGTATGACACACATGCACGCACACACACGCACACGCACACGCACGCACGCACGCACACGCAGGATGTCCCAGGGTGTGGTTACAGGCCACCACTGTGGTGGTAAGTCAGACTCACCCTTTGATAGTAGCATCTCTATCCTCAGCTTTGCCACCTCTTCCTGGAGTTTCTCCAGAGAATCTGAGGCTGTACGCTTCTCATTCAAGCCTTGGGGGACCAGGGATGAGGGCAGCGTTCAGAGACTGACCGGCAGCTCCCAGCACCACCCGCTTCCCACTCAGTTTGCTCCTTTCCCCTGGCCGTTCCAAGACTCACTCTGGGATTTGATGTTGATTAGATCCTCTAGGAGTCTGTTCAGGTTCTGGGAGAGCTCAGAGTCTGAAAGGCATAGGGATGGGTGCAGGTTTCAGAGATTGACTGGCAGCTCCCAGCACCACCCGCTTCCCACTGCCCCTTTCCCCTGGCCGTCCCAAGTCTCACTCTGGGATTTGATATTGGTTAGATCCTCCTGGAGTCTGTTCAGGTTCTGGGAGAGTTCAGAATCTGAAAGGAGTAAGGCTGGCCTCAGAGATGCTGCGTATGGATCATCTGCCCTTTCCTCCGCCCTCTTTTCCTTCCTTTCGTCCACCATTCCCCACCCTGAGCCTGGCCTCCAGTCTCCTGTGCCCCTGTGGTTCTCAGGGTAGTGGTGGTGGTGGTGGGGCTTCCTCTCATCCTGTCTTACCCTGAGTTTTCATTTGCTTCTGTTCTGTTTGGAGCTCTTGCATGCTTTGTGACATCCGAGCAGCTGCCCACAGAGAAGAAGAACTCAGTGATGAAAAGGTTCCCTTATCCCAACCCTGCCTTTTCCTCCATGGGCCATAGGGCTGCCTGTTCCTTGTGTGGTTTGGAGCAGCATTTGGCTGATCACACTGATTCCAAGGCCATCCCAGCCTTCCCCCTTTCCCATCTCAGTCTGACAGGAAGAGGCTGGCTCACCCTGGGATTTCTGGGCCAACTGATTACTCTGGTATCTTTGTAAGTCCTGGGAAACATGAGAGACTGGGACAAAGGGAAGAAGAAGAGAGGTGTTGTTAAGAACCACAAAGACCCACCTTCCATCCATCCATCCATCCATCCATCCCTTCCCATCCCTCTTTTCTTTCCTCCCTCCCTTTCTCCTTTCTCCCTGTGCAGCTCATATTGCTCTCTCACTTGCGGTCCTCCTGCCTCAACCTTCTGACGTCACAGGCAAACATGCCTCCACACCCAGTTAAGGCGGAACACTGCACTTCAGCCCAGTCCTCCGTGCAGGGGCCTCTTTCACATCCTCACAATGACCACAGCTTTTTTTGTAGTTTAGATGGAGCAAGTAGAACATACAAGGGACAGACAGGCTAGAACTAGAACACAGCTAGTAGTCAGCTGTGCCCTCCTTTCGCTCTAGTATTAAATATGAAGTCAGCAGCCACATTTTCTGAGGGCTTTCCTCCCCCTCCCTTTCTCTTTATTTATTTTTATTTATATATATTTATTTTATTTGAGACAGGGTCTCGTCGCTCAGGATGCTCTGGAACTCAGTATGTAGCCAAGGATGAGCTTGAACTTCTGATTCTCCTGCCTCCATTTGTCAAGTGCTAGGATGGCGGGCAGCCCCGTGGTGCTCAGCTAATGCAGCAGGGCAAACACTCCATCAGCTGAACTACATCCTCAGCCCTGGAGGCCTTGATCTTTCTGCACTTGTTATTTCGCTATTTCACACCTGTGTTCCAGAAGGGCACTGGGAGGCACAAGTGTTTTTGTGGATATCAGGTAACAAGACAACCGGGCTTCTCCAGAGACTGGAGAAGTTTCCTCCTGGGATAGAAAAGGTATTCTAGGGAAAAGGTGACAATGACGCAGCCCCCGCAGTGATCACTGGCAGGGAAATGGTAATCCCTGGTTATCCCAACCGTCACTTCTGCTAGCCCACCTTGACCCCCTCATACCATTCTGTACGGCGGCAGCTCCCAGCTGTTTCAGATTCTTCTCCGTTTCCCAGTCTAAGGGGGTCAGTGGAAAGAGGAGCAGGTAAGAAGGATAGTCGTCTCCCCACACCTGGCAGCTGTGGTTGGGGGTACAAGCAGAACCAGGGGTGCTGGGCGACTGGGAGGGGGACATGGAGCTGGAGCAGAAGATGGGGGGATCAGGTTCCAAAGAGGGTGTTGGGCTCCCCAGGCATTGGGATGGGAGTAGAATGTCTCAGTTATTGGGGATGTCCTTACGCCACAGAAGAAGCAGGGTCAGCACGGCAGCCCACATTGCTGTACTCAGCAACCCCACCAGCACGAGCTGTGTCCCCCTTCTTGCACAGCAGGAACGCTTATGAGAAGGCTCCCAATATCCTGTTGGTTCTGCAGAGAGTGTCGAAGGGTGCAGGGAAGTGTGGGCTCCACCTCTGTCTCCCAGAGTCTCAATAGCCAAAGTTTTTATCTAGAGCCTCACCTGAAGCAGAGGGTCTCAATTTTCTCCACGTGCAAACTGCCCACCACTGTGTCTATCTGTATGGCTCATGTCCATCAGTCCTCCTGAACTTGGTCTGTCTATCTCTCCTCTGTGTGTCTCTGAGTCTGCCCGTCTGGGTTTTGGCTTGCCTAGTCAGAGTCTGTCCACACTCCAGCAGGCAACAAGTCTGACTTCAGTCCAGGTCATTTCCAGGGAGGCAGAAAGACCCAGGAGCTTCTAAGCCTCCCCACTTGCAATGCTGGGGTCCCCAGTCTCACTTCTAAAGGACAGAGCATTCTTTTTCTAGTTTGTTCTGACCCCCGACTCTCCAAGCTTATACCTTGATCCTCAAGTCCTAAATACTTTTGTGTTTGTCCCAAATCTTGAGCCCCTTGCTAGTTACAAGACACCACATCCCAATTCTTGCCCCATATGGAAGTCCAATCCCCAGATAGCACACTCTGCAGGCTTCACCTTGATACTTGAGTTCCCCTACTCTGTCTTGATGTCCCCCACACAGGCCCCCGGCTCTTACCCTGGTTTTGAGAACTCATTCTGAATTCCAAGTTCCTGTTGAAATTGGCCTTCAACTCTATGCAACCCTGAGCTGCCCAGCTGGGACTGAGTTTTGTTGGGAAGGGGTTGAGTCATAGGAGGAGGGGCCCCAAGTTTCCCAGTACTCATCTTCCCACTTTACCCTGCCTCCTGGCCTTTCTTGGAAATGCACCCTCTTGGGTGAAGAGGGACTGAAGAGGCCCCCACCTCGCCCGGGCAGAATGAATGCCAGCTTTGGCCCCTGGGAACTGCCTTACCTGAATATTCATTGTCCTCCATGGTAGTCCTGCTGAGATCCTTTCAGTGATGGTGCGGGCACTGCCTGCCGAGGTGGCTCTCACTGAGCAGTTCGTCAGAGCTCTGGAAGCAACTTGGTTTCAGTGGACATTAGGATAAGTGTCATACTCTCTATGAGTGTAGGACAGCACCTGGGACGTGGAGATCTCAGGGGCGTTGGCTGATTTTGTTTAGTCCAGAAGTTGAATGTTGTGGTGAGCTTGGGAGATATGGCTAATGTAGTCTCAGAAGTCTCACAAGTCGAGCACCCAGAATGTATCACACAAGAGACGCGCGTGCGCACGCGCGCGCGCACACACACACACACACACACACACACACACACAGAGCAGGTGCTCGAGACATGTGGCATGTCTTTTTTATCTGTAAAAGGGGATGTTTAGCATATGTGTATATGTCTGTATGCATTCAGGTATGTGTGTGTGCAGGTGGGCTTGCATGCATGTACATGTGTCTCGTGTGTGCTGTAAGCTTGTGCATGTGTGTTAGTGTACACACCTGTGCACACGTGTGCAGAGGCCAGAGGAAGACATCATGGGCCAGCTCTATCACATTCTACTTTATTCCCTTGCTACAGCCTTGCTACAGGTCTCTTACTGAGCCTGGAGCAGCCAGTAAGCTCCATTGATCCTCTTGTCTCCACTCCCTGACTCCAGTGCTGAAATTACAGGCATGCTTTCATGCTTGTATATGACTGTGCCTGGGTCGGACGGTTGGTCAGTCTGTCTGTCTATCTAATGTATTATCTATCTATCTATCTATCTATCTCCTATCTATCTATCTCCTATCTATCTATCTATCTATCTATCTATCTATCTATCTATCTACCTATCACTTATCTATCATCTATCTATCTATCTATCTATCTATCTATCTCTATCATCTCTCTCTCTCTTTCTTTCTTTCCTTCTCTCTCTCTCTCTCTCTCTCTCTCTCTCTCTCTTTCTTTCTTGATGCTGCTTGCCCAGCAAGAGAGCTTATGCGCTGAACCTTGTCTCCTGAGTTTTTTTTGAGACAGGATCTCTCTGTGGCCTGGAGTTTGTGGATTGGGTGAGGCGGGAAAGCCAATGAGTCCCACGGTCCCTTTTGTGTTCATCTTCCTGGCCTTGGGACGCCAGGCCTGGACTGATGTGGGAGCCAGGGGTCTGAACTCGGGTTCTCATGCTGGCAGGGCAAGCTCTTTACCCACGGAGCCATCCTCCTGGCCCTGCCTCGCACACTTAGCAATGCTGTGGGGTTGTGGCAGGCCCATTTGGATGTGTACAACTTTCATCGTGATCACTCTGAATGCTGCTGGATCTGATTATAGTCTTGGTTAAGGGCTCCATTTGTGTCAGGCTCAGAGATAGCATTTTCAGCTCTTCTCCCTATTTTTTTTTTGGCTCTTACATTTAAAACGTACTTCTATGCAAGCCTGCCTGTCAACAACTGTTCTCTTGTTGCTGTGTGATTATGTGCAGATTGCACGCCCTCTCTGAGCCTTAGGAGCATGATGGTGTGGGTCAGCTATCCTCTGCCTAACAGCACTGTAAACTGATTCTGCCATCAGGGGAAGAGGCCAGAGGTATCCCTACTCCCGGCAGCTGGATCAGGGGCAGGACCTGGGCCTGAACCAGGCTTCTCCCTGGGAGAGTGGCTTGGTTTATTCATTTACCAAAAAAGTGAGCAGCAATTTGACTCTATTTATATGCAAAACACAAATGAGGTGTTTAGTACCCCACTGATTGATACTTGGGGAGTTTAACGTCATTCACGGAATGAAGTGCCAAATGGGGAATCATCTGTCCACTCCACACAGTGATGAGACAGGAACATTGTAGCCCAGCTGCTCCCCTAGCTGGCAACTTGGCCTTATTAGGGAGCTGGCTTCTAACAGAGTAGCAGACTCTCACTTTCTGATCTGAGAAGTCTTGCCCCCTCCAATACCACTTTCTCTGGCTTCCCATAGCTTTTCCTGATCAGCCTCTAGTTGAGCCACCAACCAGTATTCTCAACCCAACTGTGTTAGATTTCAGTATCTAACCCCTGCCCCCCTGCATCAGTCAGTGGTGTGCTGAGCACCTGATACGTTTCTTCCCCCTCATACGAATAGAGTCAAATTGCTGCTCACTCCTTTTGTAAATGAATAAACCCAGTCTCCCAGGGAGAAGCCAGCATCTCCTAAGCTGAGGCCTCTTTATTCTGTCTACGCTGTTGCCCCTGATTGCCAATTGGGTCTCTTGTGGTTTACTCTTGACTTAGTTCAAGGTAGTCTCTTTCAACGAGACTTTGCTGTCCAGTACCCATAGCTAGTTCCTGATACAAAGAGACAGACCTCCCCACCACAGACATACACACACACACACACACACTCGTAACCCACACATAGACACAAACTCACTTGAACTTGGAGTCCGTTGTCCTCTTGGTGTGTGTGGGCCACTTGGAGAAGGCTGCAGATCCAGTGTGCTGGGGACACTTCTCTTTTGTCAGCAGCTCACTAATGGCTTCTATTTTCACAGACTTAATTATGGGCTTGCCACTTGGGCAACCACAGCACGCACAATGCCTTTTTTGGTACTCTGCAGAACCTGGGGAAGTCCGGGCTATTATTACCTTTATTTCTCAGGTAAGTGAACTGTAGGAGACTCAGTGGTGCCAACCAGCACTCTTGAAATTCAGAAGAAAGTGGCATAGCCTAGATCTGAACCAAAGCTATGGTGGACTGAGTCACTGTGTGAGGAAGAGGAGAGAGACGGAGAGAGGGGGAAGAGGGAAGAGGGAAAGAGACAGAGGAAGAGGGATAAGAGAGGGAGGGGAGAGGAGTAGGTGAGAGAGAGAAAGGGAGGAGATGGAGAGAGGGAGAGAGAGAGAAAGAGAGAGAGGAGTGTGTGTGTGTGATGCAGGAGTGACAAAGCAAGAAAGAGGAGAAAGAGAGGAAGAGAGGAGCATGAGAGGCGGAAAGCTACGAAGGAGACATAAAGAGAAAGCAGACAGGGAGGAGAGGGAGAGGACGCAGGTGAGAAATATACAGGACAGAGAGAGGAGTGAGACAGAAGAAAGGGAGAAGAGAAGGGACAAGGACAGAGGAGGGGCATGCGATAGAAAGACAGCCAGAGAAAGGATAGGAGTGCGTGGGGCAGGGATGGGGTGGGGTGGACATTGAGACAAGAGGAGGAGACGTGATTCTCTCTCTCTCTCTCTCTCTCTCACTCACACACACACACACACACACACACACACAGGTGTGTTTATGCAGGTCTGTAATCCAAGCACTTGGAGGTTGAGGCAGAAACACTGAATTCATGGCTAGCCTGGGCTACACAGTGAGTCTGAGGCCAGCTTGAGCTACATAGAAAGAAGTTATCATAGAGCAAATGAAAACTCCAAGTTAAAAGAATAAAACACTCAAATATTGACAGCCATTCACCACCTCTTAATTTAGAAGCATTCTAAATTCTGAAAAATTCTTCGTGTCATATATATATGTATATACATACACATACACACACACACACATATATATATTAATTTTCACGACTACCCCAGAAGCTCAATGCTTTGGAAATCAGGGCTGTCTTATGGAAGTCCAGAGATAAGTAACTTGCCTGAGATTCACAGCTCCTAGATGGTAGTGCTGGCATTTAAATTTAGGCAGTGTGGGCGGAATACCTATGTCCCTAACCTTGGCAGTTTCTACTGAGTCTCCCACTAACATACACTTCTCATACTCCATCCGGTCTGTTGTTCTTGCTGTGATTGTTTGTTTGCTTGTTTGTTTTTTCCACAATCTAGAATCAACTGGGAAGAGAGTCTTAATGAAGAATAATTTAGATCAGATTGGCCCGTGGGAATTTCTCTGGGGGACTGTCTTGATTATTACTTGGTGTGGGAAGAATCAGCTCTAGGTAGAGTCTTGAGCAGTGGAACAGTGGAGAGAGGTGGCTGACAGTGAGCAAACCTGAATGCATTTTAATTTCTCTCTGCTCGTGGCTGTGTCATGTGACCAGAAGCTCCTGCCTTGATGGACTTTTCCTGCAGTGATGAATTTATGATTCCTTTCGTTCCTAATTTGATCCCTTTCTTTTCTTTTTGAGAAAGGGTCTTTCTTTGTAGCCCTGGCTATCCTGGAATTTGCTACATAGACCAGCACAACTTTAAACACACAGAGATCTGCCTGCCGTTGCCTAAGAGCTGGGATTAAAGGTGTGTGTCACAGTGCTCAGCCCTATTTTATTTTTGTCAACATACTTTTTAAATTGAAAATGTTGCAATCATGGTTTTCACATCCTCTAGCTTTTCCCAGATCCTCCTCACCCACCTAACTCCACGCCTTTTCTTTCTTTCTCCTGAAACACACCACCCCTCACACACTTGCAAGCCATATCCCACAAAACCACAAAAATGGGAAACATGCAAGCAAACCTAATAAGACAGAAAGTGTCCCACCAAGGCAATATGAGATGAAAGTATACAGGAATACCATTGGATTTGTTGTGTGTTGGTCAGTTGGGTATGGGGCCTGCCCTGAAGTGTGGGTTATATACTCAGTGAGACTCCATTGGAGAAAACAAAGTTTTTCTTTGCCAGTAAGTATCAAAGTAGTTTCTTTGTTAGGGGTGGGTGCCCATGTAGATTTCCCACTCTCAGTTCTGAGACCCCCATCTGCTTGAACCTGCACAGGCCCTGTGTGTGCTGCCACAGTCTCCGCGAATTCTTATGTGCATCTGTCCTGTTGTGTATTACAATTTTAGGTTGTTTGGGGGTTTCCATGGGGCCCCTTTGGCTAATAACTCAACTGGATGTAACCTCTTCCCAATCCGGGAAGCTTCATTTGTTGATGAGAGATGTTCATTTGGGGCTCTGTCTGCCCCATTACCTGGTGTCTCCATTTTAGATCTCTTTTGTATACATAACCTTCTATTGTAGGCTTCGAAATGATCCTTAGTGTCAGTCGTCTCTTTCCATAATCCCTCTCTCACCTCCTTTCCCATCCTCCTCCC